GTATACATACAACAAATATCACAATGTATACATACAACTGTAAGTATGCAATTTTTTACTTGTCAATTATACCTTAATAAAGCTGGGGAGGAAATTAATAAGAGAGAAGAATATCCAGTGTCCAGGAAAATATGCATTACTGGTGCATCTGAAACTTGATATAATTATTTGGAAAGAAATTTGTCAATATGGATGCTAAAAATCATCAAGCCCAATAAGATTCATTTAAAAAGTAGAATAAATAAATATTTAAAATAGAGGTGGTGATTACACAGTATACACATTTGTTAAAACTTAATAAATTCTACACTTAAAATGGGTACATTTCACTGTATATATAAGTTCTACCTCAATAAAGTTGATTTAAAAAGTAAAAACAGAAAGATAATAAAATAGTCTTACCTTTGCTTGGCCCATGTAATTCCACTTTTAGGAATTAAGCTTACGGAAATGAGCAGAGATGAGGACAATGATTTAAATACAAGAAGCTTTAATACAAGCTTTAACTGGAAAATTGTACAGTACATCAATGTCTCCATAAGGGATTGGTTCATTTAACAATACATTAATAATTAAAAATAAAGTTTTGTAAGATATTTTAATGACCAGGAGAAAATCTTATAAAAATACTTAAATGAAAATAGCAGGATACCGAACTAGAATTTCCAAGTGTTTGTATATACTTTGAAACACATCAACATGTTTATGATGGTTATCCCTAGGGCGTAGGGTGGAGTTACAAATCCTTCTTTTTTTTTTTTTTTTTTTTTTTTTTAAACTTTTTTTTTTTTATACGATAAATATATTTAATCACATCATTAGAAAAGGAAAGAATTCTAGATAATAACATGGACATGATTTTTTAAATGTATTTACTCATTTGCTGTTAAAGAGTGGTGCTGCTGTCTGTGGGAGGCTGAGCGACTCTGGGCTCAGGAAGGAGGAACACCACCGCAAACCCATCCCACCTGCAGGGCTAGGGTTGGGGCAACTCTCCAGTCTGCTGGCCCCCTCTCAGTTTCTTCCCTTCCTCCGTCTAAAGCAAATCAGCAACCCCACTGAACTCCTTAACAAAACCTTATGTGGCTTGTCCCCACCCAGTCCTCCAGTCTCTGCTCCCCAGCCACCAGGGCTTTCATTAATTCATTCAGCACGTGGCCTCTCAGCCTCACCCCCGCCTCTGAGGTTGGCAGGTTCGGTTCCCAGGGCCTGGAATGCACTTTCCATTTTCCCAAGCCTTTAGTTGACACCTCATCCTTCAAAACTCAGCTCAGTGCTTAGGTACCTCTCCAGGGAAGCCTTCCCTGCCCACCCCACCCTATCTCCCCCAGTCAAATCACATCCTCCTGCTATAACAGTCATAGGAGCTGTATTTTTCCTTTCTAGTGTGTTCCTGTTGTAATCACGTGCCTGTGGGATTATTTCATTAACACCCATTTCTCCCACAAGACCGTAAGCTCCTGGAGAGCAGCCTCGAGCCTGGGTTTGTACTCATCACGTATTCTGCGTTCCTAGTACAGTGTCTGGACATTCAGTAAATATTTTTTGAATGAATGTTTCCTCATCTGTAAAATAAGAGGAGCCCACCTCAATTTCAATCCATAACGTTTAAAGCCTGGATTCTGGGATCCTCTACTCCTCCCTCTAAGGCTCCCAGGAAACCCCAGATTACATCTCTTTCATAAATACCTTAAAAACTTCATTATCCTTCACTTCCCTGCGGCTCACTGGGAGCTCCCAGGCCCTGGGCGTTTGAAAGCAGGAGAGAGAGAGAGAGAGGAAATCCCAGTGAATCACAGAGGGTGATTACTAAATTGGGAGGTTTTTCAGGCTACTCACGCCTCTCCCATTCCTGCAGTAACTGGATGAGAATGCACCTGGCTAGAGAAAACCTACGCAAAGATTCCCTCCCTCCCTCCCTTCTCTGGGTTTCAGCAGGTGAGGAGGTGTAATGATAGAATAATGAACATTTCCCATGAGCCAGGCACTGTTCTGAGTGCTCTACTCCATAACTCATTCAATACTCATAATAACCGTATCATAAAGTAGGTACCAATATGGTTCCATTTTACAGAAGAGGAAAGTTGAGGCACAGCAAGATTTATTATAGTAACTTGCTCAAGGTCACAAAGCTCCAGAGACCTTGCTCTCTCAACTACTATACTATACTGCCTCTGATGTTTAAAAAGCGAATGCTGCCAAAAAGAGTCACAGTGACACACGTTGGGCCCACTGACTGGTGCAGAACAGGGCTTCACTAACAGAGGCAGGAGAGAGGAAGGTGGGGGTTGGCATCCTTGTGGTCACATGGCAAACACTGCTTTCTCAGGCTGAAACTCAAGAGCGGTGATGCTTGTGGAATGAACACTGACAGGTTCCCCCTCCCCCAAGAACAATCACTAGTCTGTGGAGAGCTCCAGCTCTCTGCCCAGAGCTGCGGGCTTTTTTGTTTTGTTTTTTAAGCAGGAAGCAAACCATGTGCATCAATTATCAGGAACTCTTTACTCCAACTGGGACCCCAAACACACACCCTGCTTTAACCCTGGGTGAAGTGGTACGCACAATTTACAAAGCCTCATGACCCTACCGCACCCCGAGTAAGTAGACCGTGATCGTGCGGACAACAACATACAACCCCACGCTAAAACATTGTAGGGGACTGAATGTGCATTAAACAAAAGGATGCCATCTCCAAAACTACACACCCACTGCCTTTCCCAGGCACTCGGCACAGTACCTGGCCCGCACGTTCTCAGCTTCCATTGGGTTTAGAATAAAATCCGTCTTTTACCACTGCCTCCAAGGTCTGACACGATCTGGCAAAGCTCATCCGCCCCCTGAGCTCCAGTAAGACTAGTTTTCTTCCCATGTCTCCAATACGCAGCTCTTTCAGGTCTATGGAAGGAGTACTTGTTGCTCCCTCTGTCTGGATTATTCCTAGGATTTTGGCCTGAGTCCTTCCCATCATTCAGTCCTCCACGCACGCATCACCTTCCTCTGGGGCCTCTGCCTTCAAAGTCCCATTCCCCACACCCCTCCAGACTGGAAGCTCCATCCTTGGCGTCAGAACACCGTCTGGCCCACAGGCCTTCAACACTTTGTGGAACGCAAAAACGCTGAATACACTTAAATCTCTCCTCCCACTCCCCCTCAAAATACCTGGGGGGAATTAATTCATAAAGAAAATATATGCAAGCGATAGCATAACACATCAACTCAAAACAAAGGCGGTAACCCGAGGCTGAACTGGTAAATGGCATCTTATGAAGGCCCCAAGAAAGCCCCTTCCTGATGGTGCACGCACTTTTCCAAAAGCGAAACCAGAGGGCCAGAAGGAGGTTGCCGCCGAGCGCTGCCTACCTTGAACTCGGCGGAAAGTTGGGGCGTGTATTCGCGCGTCCAGAGCGCGCGCACGAGCGCCGCCAGCTGCTCGGTGACCTCGGCGCGGCCCGGCGCCGCCCGGTAGCGCCCCAGCGCCAGGAACTCGGCCAGCAGGTCGGTGTTGCTGAGACACTGCACCACGGCGTTCATGAAACAGGTGTTGCCGTGGTTCTTCAAGCCCTGCGCGCCCGGCGGCCGCGCCCCGTCGCCCGCGGGGAACTGGGGCTGGGGTCCAGACGGGCGCTCCTCCCCGGGGCTCCCGGGGACCGCTGGGGCCGGGCCCGGGGCGCAGGCAAAGCCTCCCTCACCGTCGCCATCGCAGTGTCCCGGCTGGGGCGGGGGCCGGGGCGGCGAGTCCCCGGGGCGGGAGCGGCTGCCCAGCGCTAGCAGGAAGCGGCTGAATAGGCGGCGCAGGGAGCGGCGGCGGCGGGGCCGGGGCGCGGGCGGCCCCCCTCCTGCCGCGTCCCCGGAGCCCGGGTTCATGGCACCCGCTGGCGCGGCTCCGGGAGGGAATCCCCGGGCTCGAAGCGAACGAGCCGCTAACAGGCCCTTACAGCCTCGCACAGGCGGCCGGCGCCGGCTACCTGCGGGCAGGTGTGCGGGGACGGGGTGGAGGCGGAGCCAAGGGCGGGCCCGCCCCGCCCTGCGCGGGAATCCTGCAGCACTGCCGGCCCCAGGGCAGCGCCCGGCCACCCCTACCCCTGCCTTGTCCCGCCCCCGCGGCACAGACTAGGAATAAAAGCACTGGGAGTGGTCGGTGTCCAGCTCCTCACCCTTCCTTACCTCTTATAAACCAACCGGCCTGCGTTAACCTCTGCTCCTGTTCCTCGCCCAACCTTCAAGCTGTGCCAATAACAGAGGAATGAAAATCTCGAAGGCGTCTAGCAAATTGCAAAGCCCCGGCTATCGCTAAGTTTCTTGTAATTACGTCCAGGGGAAGACGAAAAGAAGGGAAAGGACTCTCCAAAGGACAGCCTCGGGCGTGGTGAGAGGCGCGCGCTGGGAGCGGGGACGGGCCGGGAGCGCTTTTGTGCGCCGCTGGTTCCTCCGCAGGCTCAGGTGTGTGCGGACAGGTGGTGCCACCTCCTTCCAGCCCTTCTGCCCCTTGGGGGAGGCAGAGCCTTTGCCTGCACCGCCAACCCAGCACCTGAACTGGGAGCCGCGTGTTGCCGTGTGAACCCCGGGTGGTTGTGGTTTGCTTTTTTAAACCACAAGCTAGGTTAGAGTCATTTTCCAAAAACTTAGGAGACTTGATCCCCCTCGTTTTAGTTGGTGGAGAAGTGGGCTCCGAGCAACCTTAAGCAACCCCACCCGTAAGCAGAGAAACCGGAGTCTATGGGCTGCCAGGTCAGGCCCTTTACAACCTTAGTATTTGCTTACCAGGAAGTTTTCCGGCTCTCAGGCGCGCCCCCTACTTGGTCTCTTGTTCACTCCCTATCGCAAAATCCTTGCTGAATTATTGCCCAATCAGAATTAGCTTGGCCTTGCCCCGCCCTTGATTTCCTGGGTAACCCTGGGGGCCTCCGCTCACATTATCCCATGTAACTGTCAGGTTTATAATTAATCAGGTAAGGTCTTGCAGAATGAATTTCTCATCAACTTCTAGCTCAAAAAGAGATCCGCAGTGTGTGAGATGCAGTATTCCATCAATCAAAGTCTTGCGACTTGTTATTTAATAAGTGGTCATCATTTATTAAATACTCTCCTTAATCTTTCAAAGAGAGCAGCAGCAGTTACCTGATGCCAAAAAGCAGCATTTCTTAAAGGATAAAGAATAAGCTTAGAACATAGACTGTACTGTGAATTGGAGACATGTGTTTCTGGAAAATGCCATCATTCACTCTCTCTGGAAAAAAAGATACTCTGTTGGATGATTAATACACAAGCTCCATTTCATCCCCCTTCTGGTGGTAGGCACAGGAGAAATATTTTATAGCCAACTCCAATAAAGCATCTCTTAAATTTCATCTTTGATAATCACCCCAAGATCCCCAATTACACACATTTTCTTTGCAAAAGCATTCATGTTTCACTCTCTGTGTCAGGAATTCTGCCCAAGCTTTAACACATTATTTCAGTTAGTTCTCACAATAACCTTTTGAACAGGAATTTATTCTTGCTTGAAAAAAGAGAAAACTGCACCTCAGAGAGGTTTAAAAAAGCCTGCCCAAGATCTGGATTTAAACCCAAGTCTTGTTCCCTAGAGCTTGATCAATGAAGTGATGATTAAGAAGGAAATTCGCCTTGCCTTGTTTTTAGAGGATAATAGCAATGCTATCTGCGGACAGATCGTGGAGAAGGTCAGCAGGTTTTGCAGAGTCACAGAAAAGAGATTATTACAGGAAACCAACAACGGAGAATTTATTCATAATAAAACTTTTAATTGCAGTCTGGAAAAATTATTCTTCAACATATTTCAATCTTAATATGTAATTTAAGAATGTAAAGTACATTCTATAAAGGAAAGGAGAAACTTAGAGATAAAACATTTTGACTAAAGAACAGAAACAGCAATGTGAAAAATCAAGACTAGAGCTGGAGTTATCTAAACTCAGTCCTCGCAGGACTGCAGTGCCGCGGCTCTAGAGGTCCTGGTGGCTTCAGGAGGCAAAAGGGTACTTCCACCGCAAGATGGCTCCGTCCGCACTTACGCTGACAATATATTGATTTCCTGGACTTATCCGGATTCGCGTGATGTTGCCACTGTGTCCCACCCCAACGTGAGTCACCTCACCCTCATTATAATCCCAAACTTTGACCAGATGGTCATTTCCACCTGAAAAAGACAAACACATGACGTTGCTGCAACAGAACAGAGAGAAACAGCCCCGATTTCAAATAACTGGATCATTCCTAATAGATTCCCCATGTGCCAACTTAAAGGAAGAAAAATCTATCTTTATAATAACACTTTTACTTGATTATAAAAATCTATGTCTATTGTAGTAAATTTGGAGGGAGAGGAATACAAAGATGTAAAATCACCTTTATCCCACTACCCAGAAATAACCGCTAATAATATCTTGGTTTAGTTCCTTCCTGTCTTTTTTCTCTAAGTATACAAGCATACATATACATCTGTATTTCCCGTGTATAAAGGTACGCATATACAGTCTGGGATCACATTGTGTCTTGTTTGGCATCTTGCTTTAAGTCAGTGTGTTTCTGAAACTTAGTTTAGTTAGATCGTTTATTTTTTAAAGTCCTGAAGAATCAAAGAATCCAGCAGGAAATGATGCTGATGTTGTTCCAGTCGGCTTGTTGTGTGGTAAATGCTCCCTTGAAATACTGGCTAATTCATCTGTTTGGGGGAGGGCATCTCTTCATTCAACAATGAGAGGGAGTACACAGGATACATACACAAGGACTGGCATTGAGGACTTCAGTAGGAAATAGCAGGAAGCCACTTAAAGCCTAGCCTGTGCCCCTAAGGCTTCTGTGCAAATGTTTCCTCTCACTGAAATGTGACTTCTAGATTCTTCTTTTCCAGCCACATCGGCTGCAGTGTTGAGTCTGAATCTATCCACATTGCCCCTGAGAACCTTTTGTGGTCTCTTCCCACTGCCTCTGGCCTGGGAGTTCCATTTCCCCATCTAAATAAGCCAGGCGTGGCTTTCTTTTCCTACCCCAGGACTAACCTGTGACAAAGTGCACTCCTTCCTGCGTGATATCCATACCATTTATTGACCCAGACAAGGAACCTTCCAACTCTCTGATTACTGACCCGTCAAATACTTCCCAGTAAGCAATCTGGAATTCAGGAAAGCAGCATTAGGCAGGATTCAGCTCAGTGGAATCATCCATGCACATGCTAACAAAAGATGGTTCTACTTTATATAGAAGGTAGCAAAAATACACCATGGGATGATACTGGCTGAAATTATAAATAGGCTACAGCAGGGGGTGGAGAAACCATTTTAATATTTTTAGTATTGGTTTTAAAATTTGCATTCTATTTAAAGAGATGTTGATGTGCTGATAAACCTGGATTGTGACAGAAAGGGCTTTTGATAAGACTAAGCAGATCGAGTCTGAAGCAAGCTGTAAAAGAAAAAAGAGAACAGCTTCTGCAGGCACAGCAATGCTTCAGGACTGGTGGGAGGGAAAGCACTGGGAATGGGCACCCCCCAGAGTTCTAGAGATTGGGCCTTCTTTCCCTTCTACCCCAAAGCAATAAAATATTCCACAGGGTGGAGTTTAAAGACAAAGTGATTAACCTTGGTCCCCTCCTATGGAGGAGAACTAGGGGGCAGACAGGTGCCAAAGGGAGGGTGATTTTTTTCTAAATATATTGCCTTTGTACTTTGCACCCTGTGAATGCACAACCTATTCAAAATAAATTTTCCTTCTAAATAAAGAGTGCTTGGCCAGGAATTGGAAGCGTGAACTTGGGCATGCATTCTACCCATTTCTCCTTGTTTCGTGCTGGAAGAAACTCGCTGTGTTCAGTCACTGCCAGGAATCTGTATTTCTCTGAATCTATCTAGAAATTGTATGTGTTATCTTTTTTAACTTTTTTCTTTTGCTTTGTAATGTCTACTTATGCTTGATCATGTTAATAAAAAGTTCTGTGTTCATAGCAAAAGCATGCCAGAATCCAGGAATCCAGGAATCACCCACGGAAGTGGCTGGAATTTGACTGCCTGCCTTCCCAGCCAAAGAAGCAAAAGTGACAGTCTCCTGGGCACAGCCCTATCAGAGCTCAGTCTTTCCCGAGTGTCCTCTGCCAGGGATGCCCTTCCCTGTGATCTGGGCATGGCTGGGTCCTCTGTCACTGAGGCCCCAACTCAGAATGTCACCTCCTTAAGGAGGCCTTTGCCAACCACCCAGCCAGTGTGGCATCGCCTGTTCTATTCCCTTTTTTAGCCCTGTCGCCATCTCATATTGTGTTCACTTATTATTCATCACTCATTCATGTGCTGGTTTACATATGTATTAGCCAATTCCATCCCCTCCTACCCAAAATAAGTAAGGTAAGTCAGCTCCGTGAGAACAGGGGCCTCTTGCTTGCTCCGAGGGGAAATGTTCCCCCAAACAGAAGGACCAGTCTTCACCCAAGGACACAGACTACCCAGCTAAAGAGCTTTTTAATGTATTGATGAAGGAGTAATGAGAGGCGAGGAGCTCTATGGTCTTTCTGTTTGAATTTAGTCAGAGTGATAACTGGTTTGGGCACAGCAATTCCACTCCAGCCTCAGAAATTTCCTAATAAAAACCTTCCGTGGGCCAGGTCCCAGTATGACTTTAATCCTCGCAGCTACCCTGAGGTTGGTGGTATCATTTCCTCTTCACAGACAAGAAAGTGAAGGCACTGGAAGGCTGCGTGGCATTTTCAAAGTGACAAGACTGATCAGCAACAGAAGCATCATTTGGACCTGGGTGGTTGACGCTGGAGCCTGCACCCTCGGCCATAACACCTCATTGCTTTTCTCTTGTACCAGAAAGATCTTGAGAAAGCTCTTGCTGGGAGTACTTACCTTTCTGTCTGTTCCACTGGTGATGATCTGGAACTCCTCGGGGTGATAACACACACACTGGAATAAGGTGTTGGCCAGGATCATCTGATTCCTCCTAAGACGCCTGAAAAGTAGATTCAAAAGCTGTGAGATTTGACTTTCTCTTCCATAGAAAATTGATTTACTTTTCCAACTGGATTTGGTATAAGCCCAGAGATTTGGGTTGATTTATCTCTCTCTCCCAACATCTCATACTACTCAGCACGGTGGCACTTGGATTTCTTCAAAATAGACGTCTAGTTACTCTGCCCTCTCTACTTCTGTGTGCTTGCATCGCATCTTTCAGCAGCTGTCAGAAGATAGTGGGAAGGGCCCTTTTCCAAAGACAGAGCACAGAACTCAATGAGAGACCTTAAGTTCCAGCGAGAAGCAAGCAGAAGAGGCTGAACTCAGAGCCAACCTGCCACCTCCCATATAACGTTCTCAGTTCTTGAGGTCACCGTTTGGAAGCGGAGCTCCCTACAATCTGAGTGGCAGACTGTGGGGAAGGGCTTTTTATAAAAGGATAATATTGGGCCCCCACCTCTAGGGATTTGGCTTCAGTAGGTTGAGACGAGGCTCACAGATCTGCATTTTAAACCTGCATCCTGGTTGATTGTTCTGTGCACAATAGTTTGAGAATGCCTGCCTTAGATACTATACAAAAATTATGTAAATATCACTTCTCCTTCCATAGACAATGTGCTGAGTGGCCATCTCCCAAGCCAGGCTTTCCTGGCTAAAAAATGCACCTTCTGCACAGTTTCTTTTCATTATGGAAGTTTTCAAACATAGTATTTGAGCTGAGCATTTTTTAAAATTTTGGCACAAATATTCCTGCTACACAACAGAAAGGCTTTAAGGATTTGAGGCAGTCACAAACCAGCCATGGAAATAAGTTTAGACATGCCCTTCTGGTTTTATATTTTCCCAATGGGAAGGTCAGGTATAGGCTGGCACCTTCTCCAAGTGTGGTCTTTGGACCAGCAACTGTCACTTGAGAGCTTGTTAGCAATGCAGAATCTCAGGTGCCACTCTAAATCTATTGAATCAAAATCTACTTTTTAACAAGATCCCCAGGAGACACCCAGGGCTAGAAGACACCCCTGCTAAAATGGTTTTTTTAATGTGTTAAGTAAATAAAAAGAGCTCTGTCTTTGCCTTTAGTTCTCATTCCCATCAAGAGCATTTCATATTCTTTTGCCATACACATCTCCGTTCTCCCATCCTTGTTCTTATTCCAGTCTTTCCTATGCAGTTATACAAAGACAATGCCTCTTAGGAATGATAGAGGAATGGTGGGTGGGTGGAAGGAGGAGCTGGGGGAATAGGGTCTGATTCTAAAATAAAAACACACAGCAAAACTGCTTATAGACAAAAATTCAAAAAATCACCTTGGAAAAGCCTTTGAGTTACCCCTACAATAAAGTTCACATGCTTTGGTCTAATTAGCATGGAGTTAGGCATTCTATGGGGCTATGATGTGCTCACAGTGTAAGAGGCCTGGTAATGTGGCCAGTTGATGCGAAGGGCAAATTGGTGTCCCTCCTCCCAATGGCAAGCTCATTCTGAGCTTCACTTGGCTGTGTGGAGTGATGAGAGGAACTGTCTGCATTCCTTGTTTCTCTTGCTCCCTTTTATTTGGATCACACAGAGTTGAGTTAGTGCAAGTTAAACCACGCTTCACTGCGTAGATCCAGAAAGCTATCTCTCTATCTACCGAGAAACTTGTAACATTCAGTTCTTCCTGGAAAATATACCTTTCCCACAAGCATCTGTAAACCCTGGACCGTCCTGGAGATGAATGGCTTCTGAGGAACGTCCCCTTGTTATTGCCTTAGGTAAGATTTTTACCCTCCATTTGAATCCTCTCTCACGCTCAGTGTAATGCTGGCACGGTTGGGTTTTGCAAGTGTTGTTCATCCTCCCATCACAGGTACCTACACAAGGTCCCAAATGATGCAAGTCCCGTCAGTGCTAGCAGTGACACACTCCTCATTGTTCTTCTTCACCCTAATGCAGGACACGGAGGACTTGTGCTCTTTCAGGGCCTCCTCCAGCTTCTGGGTCTGGCAGCCTATCTGCCACACCCTCACCTGAAAGCCGCAAAGTTCATGATCTCAATACAAACTCAGGACTTCTGAAAAAATCAAAAAAGGTTCCAAGAGCTTTTTCACCTCTGCTTTGCTTGACTTGTTTTTTTCAAATTCCCTGTCCTCATCTCAGTTGGGTAGTGTGGGAATGCTAAGGTGAAGGGTGGGAATATTCATGTAGAAGACATAATCATCTTCCATGGTGCTTGGAAAATGCCACCAATGATCCTGTACCAGCTTCTACTTTTCAGGCTGAGAAATGTATCCGACACCACTATGAAAATCAATAATGGAAGGGCTGATGCTAAACCAGGTGAAATAATATGTCTACTCACTTCTGCTGAGCACTGCTCTCAAATTTCTGATGGTACCATCAGGAAATTTCTTGGGTACCCAGAGCCATATTTAAACTTTCACATCAGCTGTTCAATTTTAATCATTTAAAACCAATGCTTCTCAACCCTACCAAACCTCATACCTATTTTATATCACAAATATTTCCTAAAGCCTGTTTATTATCCTGAAATTAAATTCATGGGTAATATAACTATCTACACACAAAATTTGAAAGCAGTCAATATGATGTCCTAACTATAATAAAAGGAAAGTCACTTAGTTATTATAATATTCTTTTAATGAATGAAAGTCTGTTACAATTACACCAGAAAAGATAGTAATGCAGTCAGATGCTTATACCTTCTTATAATAAATATGTTGGATTTATGAAAAATAAGAACAGAAACTATTCTGTGTAAGTTGTACAGGGCAATGAAAGAACAGTAGTCTGAGTGAACACTAGATTAAAAGCTAGTGTTAGGATAAGTAATAACAGACTGGACTTACTTGTACCCAGTAAGAGGAAAATAATCTTGAATGAAGTAAAGAAAACATTCTATAAGACACTTTCTAAAATGTCAAAGTAAGGAAAATGAAGAAGCTCAAGATTATCTGGGAATGAGCTGGGCCATGTTCATTTCTATGGTGTCCATATAATTCCCTGTTATGACACAGAGTGGGATGGTGCCAGTGTCAAAGAAAACAAATCTCCTCTCTGGAAATCCCACTACAGGTAGAAGCATAAATTCAGTCTTTAGCAGGGGCGATATTCAAAATATCTAACTGGTATGGTGTAGGTGCAGCCAAACAGCCCCAGGACTGGAGCCAGGGTCTTGGAAGACTTTGGACTGACCAGGCATTAACTCTTCAGATGAGGGGGTGTAGGGAGTTTGGAATACACTTGGGGGGAAGGAGACGGGGTGTTGGGGCTGTGATCTTCTTCTTTGCAGGTAGGGTGCTCAGGCAATGACCATTTACCATCGAAAATGGAATTACCTGAGTATTTTAGCAACTATTGCATCCACATCAGTGTATACCTGCTGACCAGAAGCCCTGGTCACTAGTACTTACAAAGATCTTGAAGACTATGCCTTTAAGAAGGAAAGGCCTGTAATGACAGCTGCATGGGCAAGAAAGAGGAGGAGCAGCTGACATGGGACTGTGAAAAGACTGCTGAGCAGGACCAAGAGCAAACAATTTGTAATGTGTGATTTCCTCCAAATCTCTCATGGAGCTTGGGCTCAGGTACCTAGAATGGAGATGGTCTACAATGCAGCAAGACACATGCCCCAAAAAGCTGAAGGAGCAAGCAAGAGTGCTGAGGGTGTCATAGGAGTGTGGCTGAAGTGACAAGGGAAGGGAGTAAAGCCAGGAGGTGGTGGTGGGCAGAGAGCAGTGGGGATGGCCTGGGGCTAGAGGTGTGTCTATAGAGTACCTGAAAGGTGGCTGGTCCAGATGGAGATGTGCCCTGAATATAAAATAACCACACCATATTTTGAAGACTTAGTACAAAATAAAGAACATAAAATGTCTCATCGATAGGAGTATTGTTATCTTCACTTTACACAGGAAACTGAAGCACAGAGAGGTTAAAGAACGTGGCCAGGTCCCATAGCTGGAAAGTGGTAGAAGAGAAATTTGAGCCCAGGCATTCATCTGCATTGCCTAGGGGTGGGGAACCTGCGGCCTCCAGGCCACATGTGGCCCTCCTTGATGAAAGGATTTGTTTTGTAAAATTTGGATTTAGTCAAAAGGCCACAGTCAGGGATCCAGAAGGCCACATGTGGCCCCAAGGCTGCAGGTTCCAAAGGCTACATCAAGATGTTGTATTTTTCTTCTCCCTAATAAGCTCTTCCTATGATAGGTGAGAAAAGAAAGGAGAAGAAAGTGTCCTATGTAGAGAAAGGAAGGATTTGGGATGGGAAAAGTCTGGAGCATAGGGAGGGAGAGACCCAGGGATAGATGTGCTGGCGAAAGGTGCTTTAGGCTCCTCGAAATCACGGAAGGAAAAGGTGGTGTGATCATTTTAAAATAATGGTCAAAACGTCTGGATGGATTAAAGAATTGCTTATAAAAACATCATCTGCTTTAAAAGATAAGGTAAAGACAACGTATACAACTATGGTCCTTAGAGGACAAGAACAAGAGTGCCAAACTCTGGCAAAACACCAACTTGGATTCATACCTCTAGTCCCTAGAACACCTTCATGTCTGTGTGGTAAATGTCCTTTCCATGCACAAATGTATTTATATGTATATTTATATTATTACAGAACTTTGACATATGACATATTTTAGGGTTTCATCAAAATCTTCCTTTGGCCCTGCCTGAATCCTAGCACAGGTACGTATTTAAAAAATCAAATAGATGGCCTCCTACAAGGTAGTGGCTCTAAATCAAGGGCTTAAAAAAATAAAATTTTGCTTTCAAGAACAATACCTCCCCTTCCCCACCACCACTGATGACCCTTTTACAGTCACTGGTGGTGGCGATGGCGGTGACACCGATCCTGTGAGCGCTGTTTATGACGTACATCAGTCGGCCTGTCTCCGGGGCAAAGGCTCGGATTTTGCCGTCATCCCATGCTGGCACGAAAGGGAAACAAAGGCAATCAGGATCAGTGCAGCAACCCCCGAAGGCTGGGGAGTGGCCCTGGTGGTGGAGGGAAGAGGCCAGCCCCACTGACCACCAATCGTCACAGGCGCCTTTCTCCTGGTTCCCCGAACTGCTCACACCTGGCCGCGGGAAAAGAACATTTTGTCTTGACTGAGCCTCCCCCCAGGTGAACCCCAGGCCAGGTATAGGAAGATGGGGAGGGACGGAAGGAGGGAGACCAGCTCCCACCTCTCTATGAACTGCAAGACTTGTACACCCAATTAGATATATAATTTAACATTCCCAGATAATTGTTGACTTCCCACCCACCCTCACCCTCCAACCTGATGCTCCTGCCCCTACTTCCAGCATCTTTCTCATCTCAATGAAAGTTGCCACCATCCATCCAGTTGCCTAAGCCAAGAACCTCAGAGTCATCCTTGATTCCTCCATATTCTAACCATCGAGCCCAATCCAACATCCAACCCATCAGCAAGTCTCACCTGCTCTACTGTTAAAAACATCAGAATCTGACTGCCTCTCAATTCCCCCACTGGTACCACCATCACCCAAGCCACCATCATCTCTCTCCTGGATCCTTATAACAGCTTTTGCCTTGACCGTTCACCCTTACTTATAACCAGCTATCGATACACGAGTCAGGGGAAACTTTTTAAACTATGTCACCTTCCTGATTAAGAATTTCTAAAAGCTTATCCCCCCGCACATAGAATTAAAATCCAGACTCCTTTATCCTCCCCGGTAACTGGGATCTGCCCCCTACCTACCTCTTCAACCTCCTCTACTAGCACCTCCCTGAACCCCCACCCCAACTGTGCCCACTAAGCTCCAGATACGTTGGCCCTTGCTTTTCTTCAAATATACCAAGTGATTTTCCCACAGCTTTTTTACTTGCTGTTCCCTCTGCCTGGAATGCTTTTCCCCTTGGTGTTCACGTGGCTGTCACCTTCTTATCAGCTTTAGTGTCACTCTTGACCTTAGCAACTTTAAATAGGATGCTCAAGGTAGAACCCATTGCATCAAGGACTTGAGGAAATGAGGGTGTGAGCCATGGGTGAATCTACAGGAAGAACATTCCAGGCAGACAAGACAGCTAGAGCAAAGGCCCTATGCCCTTTGTTTGAGGAAGAGCAAAGAAGAAAGCGTGGCTGGAAGATATGAGTAGTAAGAGAGAGAAAGTTCCAGGTAAGAAGGTGGAGGTGAGGGAGGAGAGACAGTCATGTAGAACCTTGTACACAATTACAAGAATTTTATCTTTTACTCTTAGAGGGTAAAAGACTTGAGCCCTAGAAATGGCATGATCTGACTTACATTTTCAAACAGATTTCTGCCTTCTGTGCTGAGAGCAGACTGGGGGAGAAGGATGACGGGCAAAAGCAGAAGCAGGGAGGCTGGGCGGGAAGCTACCAGGGCGGTCTGGGGGAGAGAGGATGGTGGCTATGACGAGGGTGGAGAGGGTGAGAAGTGATGTGCCTTGGATAGACTCTGAAAGGAGAGCCATCGGGGCATATGGATGTGGGCATAGGAGAAAAAAAGGGAGGCAGTGATGACTCCAAGATTTCTGACCTGAGGTGTGGTAGCTCTAAGTGTCGTGTGAGCCAAGAGCTCCTGGTGGCATTATGCGGAGAAGACATGCGGGTTGGGGGTGAGGGTGGGAGGCGCCAACAAGGGGGAAGCAGAGCCAAGAAAAGAGGAGATGAGATGGGTTCCTGATGTCACCATTTAATACCTGCACCTGCACCTAAAGATCCGCTTGACTTTTCATTGATGTGAACCAGTAAATGTGTTTTTTGACCACCGGGGAGATTTTCATATAGATTAGACATAAGACGATATTTAAAAATTACTGTTTTAAAGGAAAATATTTTTAGAGATGCACACTGAAGTATTTAGAGTGGAATATAATATCTCTGTCTATAATGTATGCTAAAATGCTTTGGCATAAAATAATAAATTGAGTTAAAAATAAATAATTCTGTTTGAGGCATAACTTAGTTTGAGTCAGGTTTCTATCTGTTGCACTACAAAAAGGGTTCTCCCATGAATGCCCTGTACTTGCTAAGGCCTCAAAGCCATTTCCAAATTGAATTACTAAATTCTCCTAGTAGAGAGAAAGATACATGCTGTATGCAGCAATTTGGGAGAAGAGAAATTGCTATTTGGTCCTTCCTAGCTCAGAAAGTCTCCCAGCTGGAAGGAAACTCCAAAGGGAGGCTAGATTAGAAGCAAGGAGGGGGTGGATGGTGGGAGGCTGTGTAGAATAAGAACGGCGAGCAGCAGAACCTCAGCCCACAGCCAGATCTGGATATGCAGACGTTACCTGAAATGATGCTCCTGCCGTCCCTCATGAAGTCAATGCCGTGGCAGGTCATGTTGGGCACAGTAATCCGCAGCAGCTCCCTGTTGGATGACGTGTGCCACACCCTGATGTCCTTCTTGGCACAGGTGGCAAAAAGTTCAGCAGTGCCACTGCAAAGAAGCCATCAAGAGAATAAGAGATGCAGCTGTAAGAGACACACAACGCTTCTTGGATGCATACTTGATGCCAAAATGTGATTCCCAAAGACATAAGGAAGGATGCTTTTCCGATACCAATTATCTGAAGGTTTGATCTTACAGATTTCTTGTGTAAAATGGCATTTCATGCCCTAAAACCGCCTGTGGACAATCTTTTGTAGTTCTTTCCCTTTAGGAAGGGTTGGGACAAAGTTGCACAAAAAGAAAAAGTCAATTTAAAAGTCCCTCAAAGTCTTGGTAGACTGGAAGATAGTAAGTTACATTTCTCTCTCTCTCTTATTTTTTAAAACACTTTATTGAGGTGTCATGGAAATGTTAAAAGCTGTACATATTATGGGGTCTCACTCTGTTGCCCAGGCTGGAGTGTAGTGGTACAATCATAGCTCACTGCAGCCTCGAACCCCTGGCCTCAAGCAATCCTTGCACCTCAGCCTCCTGAGCAGCCAAATTCAGCCGTGAGCCGCCACCCAGCTAAAGCTACCCATATTCAATGTATATAATTTGATGAATTTGGAGATAAGTATATAGCCAGTAGATAACATTTCTTGAGACGAATACATCCCTGAAGTATTCATATTAAAAGAAGATAAATGAACACTTTCCTGTAAAGTAGAAAATCTTATAAAATTTCAAAGAAGAAAATGACAACGGTGCTGGAATTCATGTTCGCGATACACCAAAACCCTTCTCTGCTTAGTTGTGAGAAAAGATGAGATAATGGACAAGGAAGAGAACCCCAGAGTAATTGGTCTGTCCGGCTCAAAAAAAGAAAAAAGGGCAATTTGTAAATAGAACGTAATTTACCGATATGTCAAAAAATTACAAATTATTCCCACTCGGATAAGAAAAAGGAGGAATACCAGGGTACGATAAAGACCATTTTATTTATACGTTTAAATTTTTAGCTAGTCTCTGTGGAGACTGAAGCTAACCTTTAGATTTAAGTATGTCTCAAGCAATTTCTATATTTTATCATAAGCACATTACTAAGAAAAGAGAGTCTTTCTTTCTTATTTTAAGATCTAATCACTTGGAAATTAATAGAAAAAGATAAGTGGATCCCTTCCACACATTTCACTTTGTGGCTCGGAATTAAGGTTCTGGTACTCTAGAAGGAGCAGGGGCTAGAACAAGACAGGGAATGCAACACAGCTCCTTGCCACACAGACCTGATTAACAGAGATCAGATCAAGGCAACATCAATATTTATTTAAAATAAGAGATGTTTTATATCAGCTACTGACTTCGAGGAATGAGCTCTTCCTCTGAGGAAAGTGAGCTCTCAAAGATGTATTCATATTATGTATGGACTGCTCATGAAAATCAAATATCATAAAATGAATGTCCCTAGAGAACTTTCCAAACTCTCTACCTTTCATGGACAATCCACTTCTTCAGCAGTCAAGCCTGGTTCAAAAGTGATTCATTCAGTATTAGACTGTCCTTAGTTAGGGTCTGAGAGGTTAAGTTCCTGAAAGAACCTAAATGATTGGATCGTGATGATGCACTAGGCCCATGTGTGCCCTTCCTTTCCTTCTAAAATCCCATGAGATAAAGATATATAGAGATGTAGATACACAGATATACATTTTATCCCTCAACAATACAAGACAGCAGGAAAGAGTATTATCAAATAGGCCAGAAACGTTGAGGATAAATAGAAATCAGCTGGATAAGACCTGCAGAGAAACAAAATGGAGAAAAATTCAGCTCAAAAGCACAAGCAGAGAACACATCTCGTAATGTTGGCGCAGTTGAACTGCTTACAAAAACCTCACAGATTACAATTATAGAAGCTGGATAGCTAGGTGTGGTGGCTCACACCTGTAATCTCAGTGACGGGGGAGGCTGAGGTGGGAGGATCGCTTAAGGCCAGAAGTTTGAGACCAGCTTGCACAACATTGCGAGACCTGGGCTCCAAAAAAATAAAAAATAAAAAAATCCACCAGGCACGATGGCATACACCTGCAGTTCCAGCTACTCAGGAGTCTCAGGTGATAGGATCGCTTGAGCCAAGCACAGGAGTTCAAGGTTACAGTGAGTTATGATCATGCCACCACGCTCCAGCCTGGGCAACAGAGTGAGAAACCCCATCTCTTAAAAAACAAAAACAAAAGATAACAAATGAAAAAATTAGATAAAATTAACAATAATAACCAAATACCCTAAAGACACTGAAAACCTCTAAAAGTAGATAGAAATCAAGAAACATTTGCTCTTGTAAAAATGCAACTGGAAAGGGTTAAGAATTGTTAGTGTGGCTTTCTCACACAAGATGCTCCCTGACTCCCACAGCTATGGTGGCTGTAGAAAAAGGTGGCAGAAAACCCACAGCCTTACCAGCTAAAGGTGCTAGAGATCAGAGTCGAGAGCTAGAAAATCAGCTATGGAAATCCTGGCAGCAAGAGAACCACAGGAGTAAGACACATTCTGATTATAAGCACTGCCCAAATTCCTGGCTGGCAGCTGAATTATGCATGTTTGGGGGGAACCCCAAGAGGAAGCAAAAGCAGGCGAGACGAGAGGATTCTACTACTCTCTTTTTTAATTGATTTTTTAAAGCATTTCTATTTTTGAAGACAGCTACATGAGGTCAATCTGAGAGCTTTTGCCTTTTTAACTGAATGTGTTCCCCAGCTGAGCTCAGCTTGGATGGCAAAAAGTTGAAACTCACAGGCTTGAAGTGTCATAGCTTTAGGTCAGCAGACCACTTGGAAATTAGGGAGAAATCACTAGAAGCAAGGAAGTCATGGAAAGGGTAAGCCTCATTTGTGCACAAACCTTTGGGTGACTGCCAAATAATGTAAGCCCACAGGAGAACACAGGGCTAAGCTAAAAAAGCAGCAGTGGGAAATCATGAGAATATCAGCTGATTCATACTATTGGAAGGCAAAATTCGCAGTTTGAGTCCATGCCAGTAAGCCTCAGAGAACAGAGTTGCTACAATGTATTCTATATAATACTTGATTTTCAACAAGAAATTATCAAACATGCAAAGAGATAGGAAAATGTGACTCAGGAAAAAGGCAGTCAAAAAAAACTGACTCCAAGCAGACCTAGGTATTAGATTAACAAAGACTTCAAAGCACGAAGAATATACTTAAAACATATTCTAAATATTAAAGGAAACTATGACATCAATAGATGAACAGATAGCTAATCTCAATAGAGAACTAGAAACTATATATGTATGATATTATAAATATAAATTTTATAACCACTATGTATTTTTTCTGTAGGTAAAAAGTATAATAACTGAAGTAGATTTACTAGATGGGCTCAACAAGAGATTAGATATGGCAAAAGAATCTATGAGCTTGAAGGTAGATTTAGTAGAGATTACATGACTTAAAAAAAAAACAGAGCAAAAGATTAAAGAACAGCAAACAGCCTAGAGATCTGTGAGAAAAAAGTTAAATTATTCAAAATGTGTGTAATTTGAATCTCAGGAGAATAGAAGTGAGAAAAGATGAAGATTCTTGAAGAAATAACAACTGAAAACTTCCCAAATTGTTGGACAACATCAGTTACAGATCCAAAAAGCTTAACAAACCCTAAGCAGGATAAATACAAAAAGAAATATACGTCATAGTCAAAGTGATGAGAGACAAAAGCAAAGAGAAAATCTTGACAGTAGACCAAAAAAAAAATGATATTAATACATTGCAAAGAGGGAAACAATAAAAAGAATATTTAATGACTTCTCATTAGAAACTATGGAAGCCAAAAGGCATTGGAATGATGGATTCAACCTAATGAATAAATGGAAAACAATCAGGCAAGAATTCTATAACCAGTGAAATTATTCCACAAAAATGAAGGCTAGAAAAAGATGTTTTCAGATAATCAAGACAGAGAATTCTTCACCAGAGACTTATGCTTAAAAAAAGTGCTAAACAAAGTTCTTTAGGCTGAAGGGAAAAGACACCAGATGGCAACTTAGATATAAATAAAGAATGAAGAGCATCAAAAATGCTCAAATATCTGGGTAAGCACAGAAAACATTTTTTAAAATTTCTTTTCTTCTTTTAATTTCTTGAAAAGATTTGTTATTGTTTAAAGCAAAAATTATAATATTGTATTGATGGCCTTGTAATATTGATAGGTGTGCATGAGAACAACAGCAGCAAGGATGAAGGTGGAGTTTAAAGGAAATATACTGTTGCAAAGTTCTACACTGTATTTTACTTGAAGTAATTCAGTATTAACTCTAAGTAGACTGTGATATGTTAAAGATGCATACTGTCATCCTCAGAGCAATCACTAAAAACTTAACACAAAAATATATAGCCGGGCTGGGCGCAGTGGCTCATGCCTGTAATCCTAGGAGTCTGGGAGGCCGAGGTGGGAGAATCACTCAAGGTCAGGAGTTCAAGACCAGCCTGAGCAAGAGCGAGATCCCGTCTCTACTAAAAAAATAGAAAGAAATTATCTGGACAACTAAAAATATACAGAAAAAAATTAGCCAGGCTTGGTGGCACATGCCTGTAGTCCCAGATACTTGGGAGGCTGAGGCAGAAGGATTGCTTGAGCCCAGGAGTTCGAGGTTGGAGTGAGCTAGGCTGATGCCATGGCACTCTAGCCTGGGCAACAGTGTGAGACTCTGTCTCAAAAAAAAAAAAATATATACACATATATATATATATATATATATACACACACACACACACACACACACACACACATATAGCCAGAAAGCTAATAGAGCTATTAAATGGAATGCTAAAAATATTTGATTAACACAAAAGGTGGCAGGAAAAAAGTAATAGAAGAGCAAAGAACAGATGAGACCAAAAAACAAAAAGCATATAGCAAAATGGAAGATTTAATACAAACGTATGAAAAATTCCATTAAATGTAAATGAACAAAACATTCCAAATAAAAAGCAGAGATTATTAGACTGGGTAGAAAACCAAGAACCAATTATATGAGGTTTCAAGAGATGGACTTT